TATTATTAAAGAGAACCAGTGAAGTACACATAAACCCATTACATACAATACAACACTAACTCTAAAAAACAGAAAAGATATGATGATTAATGGAGGCTGCTTTTCTGCTATTATTACCATCTATTTCTGCCTCCTTATCCACACTCTTGCTTCTACTTCGCAACACTTTTGCCGCCACGACCAGAGGGATGCTCTTTTGGAATTTATAGACGAGTTTCCGATTGATGCGTCTTATCCAAGTTCGTGGAATACGAGCATCGATTGCTGTCTTTGGGATGGTGTCACCTGCGATGATAAATCTGGCAAGGTGATATCACTCGACCTTAATAGCATTTCTCTCAACAGCTCTTTGAAAACCAATAGTAGCCTTTTTAGACTCCATTATCTTCGTCAACTAAACCTTAACGGTTGCAATCTCCAAGGAGAGATTCCTTCTTCGCTAGGAAACCTCTCTAGTCTCACATTTCTTGACCTTTCTTACAATAGTTTGGTAGGTGAGATTCCGGCTTCAATAGGCAATCTAAACCAGCTCAGAAACCTTAGCCTTTGGGGTAATGGTCTCATAGGAGAGATTCCTTCTTCACTAGGAAACCTTTCTAGTCTCTTAGATCTTGAACTTCAGGGTAATCATTTGGTAGGTGAAGTTCCGGCTTCCATCGGAAACCTTAAGGAACTAAAAGTCTTGATGGTTGGCTATAACAGATTAAGTGGCAATATTCCGATTTCATTTGCCAATTTAACCAAGCTTTTCTCTTTAAGCATCAGCTCTAATAGTTTCACATCATCAACCACATTTCCATATGACATGAGTGGATTCCACAGCTTGGAGTATGTTGATGCTAGTGACAACTCATTTCTTGGACCTTTCCCTAAATCCTTGTTCTCGATTCCTTCGTTACAAGGGGCTAATTTGGGAGGAAACCAATTCACGGGACCTATAGAGTTTCCGAATACATCTTCATCATCTAAGCTTCAGGATATATCTCTTGCTCGTAACAGATTCAATGGCCCAATCCCAAAATCCATATCTAAATTTCTCTACCTCGTAAAGTTAGACCTTAGCCAAAACAATTTCACTGGGCCAATTCCTAGTTCTATATCAAAGCTCGTCAACCTCAACTGGTTATATCTCAAGGACAACAATTTTAGTGGGACAATCCCTAGATCTATTTCAAATCTAGCCAACTTAGAGTATCTTGATTTTTCCAACAACAATTTGGAAGGTGAAGTGCCAGGTTTCGTATGGAGATTGGCGGGGCTGACGCTTTCTCACAATTCTTTCAGCAGTTTGGAAAACCCTTCACAAGAGCCACTGATCAAACAGTTAGATCTGAATTCAAATTCACTCCAAGGACCATTTCCTTATTGGATCTGCAAGCTTAAAGGGTTAACCTTGTTAGATTTGTCCAACAATCTCTTCAGTGGCTCCATTCCTCCATGTTTAATAAATCTCATTGATTCTTTGACAGACCTGATTCTCCGTAACAACAGTTTCACTGGAATTCTTCAAGATATATTTGCCAATGCTACCGAATTACGATCCTTGGACGTTAGTCGTAACAAGCTGGAAGGAAATTTTCCAAAGTCATTGATCAATTGCAAAGCTCTGATACTTGTGAATGTGGAAAGCAACAACTTCAGAGGCAAGTTTCCATCTTGGTTAGGATCTCTGCCTTCATTACATGTTCTCATCCTCAGATCAAACGAGTTCTATGGGCCGTTGTATCATCGCGACGTGTCCATTGGGTTTCAGAGTTTAAGAATCATTGATATATCACGCAATGACTTCACTGGTACTCTCCCACCTCACTACTTTTCCAACTGGCGTGAAATGGCCACATTTACCGACGAAAATTACGTGTACATGGAAAATCTCCTGAATTATTCTAGTGTTTATCAGTCGATGGAAATGGTGAATAAAGGAGTAGATTTGAGCTTTGCGCGAATCCGACAAGACTTTAGAGCTATGGATTTTTCTGGAAATAGAATTTCTGGCAAAATCCCTGAATCCATTGGTTTTTTGAAGGAATTGCGACTTCTTAACTTGTCAGGTAACGCGTTCACAAGCGATATCCCGCGAGTCTTGGCAAATTTGACAAAGCTCGAGTCATTAGACCTATCCCGTAACAAGCTGTCTGGTCCAATCCCTCAAGGTATTGGTAAACTGTCCTTTTTGTCATACATGAACTTCTCTCATAACCTTCTCCATGGTCCAGTGCCACAAGGCACACAGTTTCAAAGACAGAAATGTTCTTCGTTCTTGGACAACCCTGGACTTTCTGGTCTCGAAGATATATGTGGAGAAAGCCATGTTACGAATCCTACAACTTCAGAACAACATGAGGAATCGGAGGAACAAATGTTCAACTGGGTAGCAGCTGCAATAGCCTATGGACCTGGTGTTTTCTGCGGATTGGTGATCGGACATATCTTCACGTCACACTATCAAGAGTGGTTCACAGAAAAGTTTGGTCGGAGAAAACTCAGAGGCACTAAAAGAGCTCGTTAAGCCCATCTCTTGCAGTTGCAGTATCTCTAGTAAGCATTTGTGAAACATATGTTTTCCAAAGTCTTGTTCGTGTTTGTACTGAATTTTTCAGGAATGATCTCTAAAAGAGTCGTTTGTGTTTGTTTGTAATTTTCATTTAATGGTTTTGTAATAAACGTATTTGGTGGTAGTCATTGTATATTGGCTTGAAAATGTAAACGGAACTTCCTCCAATTGATGTGGAAGATGGGTGGATTGAGATTGTGTAAGTGCTCTTTGTGTTGAGCTGCCATAAAAGATCAGCTCAAACATTGGAATGAGTTAGGCTAAAAAGAATTTCTTGTGGGGTGAAATCCTCACAGTGCAGATGCTCGGAGAGGGATCACATTCAGAAAGCTTTTGTGATCCACTTTGGATAAATTATGCAACTACAGAAACAGAGGATATACCTTTTATAGCAATTGTGTTTTCATGGTAGTGGACTAGTCTACCGGAAAACCAGCCGCGACACGCAACAGGGATTTCAGCACCAGTAGACAAAGTCTCTTATTAAATGGTAGCTCTGGTAGGACATTAGATTTCTATGTTTTGAACTTAATATATGTCACGTACGAACATGTCTTATAAAAGATCCTCTGTTTTTTGTGACCAAAAAAAAAGATCATCATCATCATGACAGTCATTTTTAATTCGTTACTCATGTGATTTTTAAAAGAGGAACGGATCCAGATACCTGAAGTCTGAAGTCTCAGCCACTCTTGTGGGTTTGTAATAGCTTGAACCAAGGCGCTTGAGTCACTTACAACACAAACTTCTCCAAATCCTTTAGATTATCAAGGTATGACAATTTCCAAATTAAAGTTGTAGCCTTAGATTGATTATCCAGGATTGACAATAGTTTAGGATAAGTCTTAGCTCCCAGTTGCATTTGAGCTTATTAGGAGGAGGAGCTCGCCACTTTGCTTGTCTAGGAAGTGGACCTTGACGGACTCTTATTTGGTTTTGGTTTGCCTCTGCCCCATTCATGTTCATCTTCAACTGCGTTTTCTACGATTTCAAGGGCATTATACTGAGCTCCATTGAAGCAAAGATCGTTTCTCGCTTTCCATAGTCTCCATAAGATTCATGGGAAGAGTATGAAGCTATCTCTCGTATCATCTCAGATTCATAATGAAGAAACAAACCAGGACGATGCCTTTAGAATGGGGTTTTTACTTCATAAAATCATGTAAATTTAAATTAACATATGAGCCTAGGACTTAGGACCTACCCTTAACAAATGGTTTTCTACATAAATACAGGAGAGAGGTTGAATAAGCTCTGCAGCCGATCCATCGGAGGAGTTCTAACCGAGTCGACCTTAGATAAGACTATAAGAGATACATTGGAGAGGACTGATTTAGTTAATGGTTTATGTGGACGAGTCTGAAACAATTGGCACAATTCATTGACCGACTTGTTGATGCAAGACTCAGACAAATCAAACGAGTCCGACAAGTTGATGCAAGACTTGGACAAATCAACCGAAACCGACGAGTTGACGCAAGACTTGCTAAGTCACAGCCCCACTCATTAAAGAGTATCTTCTTTTTAAAGAGAAGTAGTGAGGCACAACAAAAACAGAAAAGAGAGATATGATGAATGGAAGCCGTTGTTATTGCTTTTCTGGTATTATTACCATCTTTTTCTCCCTCCTAATCCACGTTGTTCTTGCTTCTCCTACGCTCCACTTTTGCCGCCACGACCAGAGGGATGCTCTTTTGGAATTCATAGACGAGTTTCCGATCGATGCGTCTAGCCCAAGTCCGTGGAACAAGAGTAGTGATTGCTGTCTTTGGAAAGGTGTCACCTGCGATGATAAATCTGGCAAGGTGATATCACTCGACCTTAATAGCATTTCTCTCAACAGCYYTTTGAAAACCAATAGTAGCCTCTTTAGACTCCAATATCTTCGTTACTTAAGCCTTAACGATTGCAATCTCCGAGGAGAGATTCCTTCTTCACTAGGAAACCTCTCTCGTCTCACATTTCTTGACCTTTCTTGGAATCAGTTGGTAGGTAAGATTCCGGCTTCAATAGGCAATCTAAACCAGCTCAGAAACCTTAGCCTTGGGCTTAATTATCTCATAGGAGAAATTCCTTCTTCACTAGGAAACCTTTCTCGTCTCTTAGATCTTGAACTTC